CTGTACGTTGTGATCGGAGGTGGCCTAGCACTCAATGACACATGATTTATACTGGTTCAGGCAACGTGCCCTACGTCCAGTGTGGGTCGGTCGGTGACTTTATTCCTGAGCCCAGGTGCTCGAAGTCTATAGTGGGGTTACAAACGAGAAGGAGAAAGGAGGGTGTACGAGAGGCTCGGTCGGGTCCGATCAGAAGGGCCGAGGGCGACCGGAACTCCACTATGAGCTAGGTGTTCAAGCGTGTACTTGAGGGGTTTTTGAGCTATCGATCTAGTGAGCCTGAACTTGAAGAAGTGGACCTCTTTCGTTGGAGGGAGCGCATCCCCTTTTTATAGATAAAAGGGATGGCTTTACAGGTGAGAGGGAGAGAGTACGGATGTTTCTAAGCCTTGTTGTCCACGCCGATGAGGGTAGCGATGATGGTAGGCACCCATAATACTGTTGATGTCACTATATAATATCAGATGCATATGGAAGGTTGCGTTGGCTTCTTCAGGAAGGGTGGATGTCGGTACCTGCAAAATACTATTGGTGTGTGAGGAGCCCTACCCCGTGTACCAGGTATGCTGAACCCTAGCGCCCACTATCGATGCCCAGAGGTATGTGGGAGGCTTTTTGCCATATGGGAGCCCGATGGCGCATACAATACTGTAGACACAAATGTCGGTGCCTACAATACTATTTGTGTCAGGACGGTTGAGGAGCACTGTTCCCGCAGGCGTACAGGGTATGGTCCCGGTATCGAGGTTTGACTTTATGCACTGCCTTCTCTGTTTGCCCCTGGTCTCTTCCGAGCGGGTGTCCCCGGTCGGATGGCCCCAGTCAGCCCTGGCCGCGCCAGTCGGAGAAGAGTGGTAAGCAGGCTTCCTACGGGGTCCCCGACCGGAGACGCGGGGTTGGAGTAGGAAGCAGTGCTTTGCGCTAGGCCTTTCCGATCGGGGAGACCACCCGGAGGCGGCTGGTGCCCAAAGCGAATGCTCCGGTCGGAGAGGTGGGCCGGAGAGGTTGACGAGCGAGCGCCTGTTTTTGGGTAGACCTTTCGGTCGGCGACCGGACTGTCCCTCCGGCCCGTCATGTCTTAGGCTTTTGGGCCGACCCACGATTTACATGCTGTTTTCCTAGGCCGAGCCCTGGTGTAGAAGCCGGTCCTTGAGGGACCCCGGGTTTATGAACCCAACACCATGGTTTGCTCTTGTCCTGATTTATCATATGCAATGAGTTTGGCTAGTAGATACATGGCTAAACCTGGTAAAGAACATTGGAATGTTGTTCAGTGGATTTTCAGGTACCTTCGTGGCACAACAAATGCCTGTTTGAAGTTTGACAGGACTGATAAGGGACTTACTGGCTACGTGGATTCATATTTTGCTGCTGATTTGGATAAGAGAAGATCTCTCACAGGTTATGTGTTCACTATTGGTGGTTGTGACGTGAGTTGGAGGGCAACATTGCAGTCCGTTGTTGCCCTGTCTACCACTGAATCAGAATACATGGCTATTGCTGAGGCATGTAAAGAATCAGTTTGGTTGAAATATTTGTTTGCTGAGCTTTGTGGAGATGATTCTTGCATTAATTTATTTTGTGACAGTCAAAGTGCTATATGTCTCACTAAAGATCAGATGTTCCATGAGAGAACAAAGCACACTAATGTCAAATACCATTATGTTCGCGATGTGGTGGCGCAAGGTAAGCTGAAGGTATACAAGATAAGGACACATGATAATCCTGCTGATACGTTGACAAAGCCAGTTCTGTTGCTAAGTTTGAGCTTTGCTCAAGCTTAGTTGGTATAACTGTTTAGCCCAAGAGGCTATTTGGCACATGAAGTATTTCTTTGTTGTTTCAGGGTGAATGTTCGTTTTATGCTACAAGAAGGATTTTGTCTCAAGATGGAGTTTGTTGAGTTGCGATCCAAATTCAATTATGTACAAGATAAAGACTAATTTCTGTCGGAGCGATGTGATTCAAATACGGATCGTCACCTATTAGGGTTTTTCATCTATATATACTTCAAGTAAGCCGTCGTCTTGTGATAAGAAAAGTTATAAATCCCGATGTTTGTAACCTCACCAATATAGTAAAGATTTGTTGATTGGTGTCCGTTGTTTTTTCTTTCACCTTGAGAGAGTTTTCCACGTTAAAATGTGTTTGATCTACTGTTGTTCATCGTTTATATTGCCTATTATTTATAACACACATGCCACTCCGGCCAGCCCCGGACGGCCGGCCCCCTGCGGCCCTGCCACAAAGCCAGCGGCACGGCTGGGCAACCGGCCGTGCGCTGCCAAGGAAACTGCACACACCGCGGAGCTGGCTCTCTCTCTGGGCACTGCAGCTAGATGAAGGTGGTCTCGTCGACCGAGACACGCAGAGAGACATGCAGTATCTGATAGAATGCCTAGCTAGTGTATGTGTCTTTGCCTATGCATGCATATTTTAACGCCCTAAAACTTGCACGTCTGCCGCTACATAACAAAGGGCCGGTTCTGCCAAAATCTCCCTCTGATCACGATTCACACGGCCACACGGGTGGATGGACGTCGCCGTCCTCATCAACGAGACGAAGCCTTTATTCTCGTACAGTCCAACCACTGCATGCGGATGCGGCCTGCGGGGATCACCTAGCGCGTTCACTTGGGCACCGTGCTACACTAGTGCCAAGCCCCTCCGGTCGGCCAGCAGCTTAGCACGGCGTATCAGGTACGGTGCAGTGTTTTTGTCGAGAAATAAACCAGTGAATAGTACTTTTTAGTCCAGCTTTTCAGCGAAACGAACAGGACCATGTACTCCATCCGTTCTAAATTATAAATCGTTTTAACTTTTTTGTTACATCTATTTTGCTATGCATCTAGATAAGTAATATGTTTAAATACATAGAAAAATAAATGAACCAAAAAAATCAAATTAATTTATAATTTGAAACGGAGGAGTATAAGACTACTCTCTCTCTAATATAAAATAATATACTTATAGGTAGCTCATAAATCATCATTAGCCTTGCTCTTAGCATTGCTGAAACTCGACACTCTTAAATTTGACTAAAAGTACCACCAATACAACGAAAGAAAACGGACAAGGTACATATGAAGATTATCACAAACAAGCACACACAAACTGACCTCGATGAACATATTGGCCTCGTTACTTGAAAGAACTTTGGGACAAACCATACTGAAAAAACAAGATTATCACAGAGAAAAACATTGTTTCGGCTGAAAAAACAAGTCGAACAAGCCAAACTTTAAGACAAGCGAACGGGGCCATTATCAAATCTGAGACTTTAAGTAAACAGATCTTGAATTTGACAAAGTCACCATTCGTGGCTTATTATCGACGGAGGGATCTACCACTAGAAAGATAGTTAGCACAAAATACTAGTAGCCAGATACTCAAACCTAAATAGATAGGTCCTATCAACCCAAGCAAATGCACTAAAACATGGAGAAGATACACCCCTTGATACTATTGCATTTAAAATATGAGTCATTTTTGTCTTTCGTACCATACTACACAAAGTGACACTAACGAATATTTTATCTTACAGTTGTAGAAAATTTTCTATATTGTGACAATATTTTATAGGTCAACTAGTACTACCAATCGTATGTTGTTCATATAGATATTTATATGGACTTATATTTGTAACCGTCGAAGTATATTGGAACTTTAAGCACCCTCCTAAAGAGCTGAAAAAAAACTAGTAACCCATTACAACGTTTTTTTTTCTTCTTAATGGGGCGAGCTAGCATGTTAGCCCGTTAGGTTAATGAGCCAGTTTGTGATCTAAACAAACCAAGCGCTTCATGATCCAACATTATAAACAAGAGACAATTAGACTTATGTTATGATGTATGCATGTGTTTGAAGTCTAGAACTAATGCATAATACACATTATACTTTATTTTCTTGGCTTGATGTTTGCGAGTTAGTAGCTGTTGATTTATATATGCTTTTGTTATAGTAGTTAACGAATTGACTTGCAATAGCTAAACGAACCAAGCTGATCTGGTGCTTTAGCATGTTTCCTTGACGGCTAGGTTTAAACCGCTTTGGTTATACTCCCTCCTTTCAAAATTATAAGTTACTCTTGCTTTTATAGATACATAACTATGTATCTAGATATAATATATATCTATAAGCGTAGCAAAAGCTATGAACTAAAAAAGCTAGAACAGCTTATAGTTTAAAATGGCGGGAGCAGCGGTTAAAAGTATATATAGATCGCTTTTACCAATAGGGAATTAAATTGTTGTATGTTTTTCAGATAATTTCAATTTTCTTTTCTCATTTTAGCTTGCACTAGGTTCTTATTGTCTCATGAGTTACACATCTACTACTTCAATTAATTAACTATAGAAGTCATCAAATTGAAGGGTAAACATGGTGAATCATATCATGTTCAACCTTAATTCGAGTGACAAAATATTAAATAATTTGTATTTTGGATGGGACAAAGTGTGTATGATTCTTTTGCAACTACAAGCAGATGCAGTGCAGGACTGCAGGCAGTGCAATTTGCAAATGATATCTAGTTAGAAGAACGACATATATATTACTACGTACATCCCACACTCCAAAAAAATAGAATATAAATCTCGTTTTTTTGAGTAATCAGACAATTTTAAGTTTAACTAATTGTATAAAAAAATATAACTTAGTCCAATCTAGAATTATAATTTTTTTAGACGGAGTGATTAATAAGCAAACATTTCGCAGTAATAGTTTTACCATCTAGCTAGATCATCAGATACTTGATGGATACTAGAAAACATACACGCGACTACGGTCTATCATCTGCGATCAGCGGAGTAACACAGGAGTACAGAGCCCATGCAGATGCATCATCATATACTCAAAACTCTGAGCAAACTAATCTACTGACAGGCAATTGATCGAGTACTAGCTAAACTTTGCTAATTAGACGTACTAGCGTCTATCAGACACGGACACACACGGGATGCTACCTTAAGAAGAAACTACCACTACTACTAGCTATACTTCTAGTAAGAGCCGGGCAGACCAGTCTCCCCGTCGTTGAGGTCGCACACAGAGTAGCATGCGTCTGCAGGCTCCTCATCGAAGATGCAAGAAGCAGGCAACGGAGGCAGCTCGTGCCCACCACTCAGCTGCCTGGGATCGAGCCCGTACGGCTGATGGGCAACAACACCATAACTCAAAGCTTCCTCCGCCGGCACCTGGAGCTGCATCACCTCATCGCATGCGCCGGTACGACCGTGGGACGCGAGTGTCACCTCGTCGTCACCACCAGCCACCGCCGCAGCGGAGTAGGCGGCGGCGAGCTCAGCATGGCACCCTTCCTCATGCTGCATCAGCGCGGCCTGGTGCAGGCTGATCTGCGCCTTGAGGAACTTGACGTAGTGGATGACCTGCTCGAGCATGGACACCGTGTCCATCTTGCTGCCGCCGGGGACGAGGCTGCGGAGCACGCGGAAGCGGTCGCTGATGCGGTGCCGCCGCTCGCGCGCCGCCACGCTCTGCGGGTCCGTGGAGAGCTTCGCGCCAGGACGCCGCCGCACGCCGCCGCCGCCGCCGCGCACTCTGCTGTCGCTGAGGGCGCCGGCCACCGCCACCGGGTGGTGGAGGTACGGCTGCGGGTGGAGGATGGGGAAGCCGCGTGGGTCATACATGGTCTGGTAGTGATATGGATCCATAGCTAGGACGACGCGCGGACGCCTAGGTGCAACTACTACACTGTGCAGTGCTGTTGGCTTTGCTGGTTTCAGCCCTAGAGCTACTATGGCTTTGGGAGGAGCCCATGGCGGGTATATATACTCAGCATATGGCATTGCAGAGTTAAGCACATGCAGAGTACAACCTGAAATTGCGTCTTCGCTATATCAGATTGGTGAAATGCATGGGATATTCCACTCGGCGGGCTCTTCAAAAAGCAGTAAAAGTATTAGGCAAGCACAAAGCTAACAATTGTAAAAATATGTAAAACTGCAGGAATGGCCATTTCGACAGATAGTAGAAAATGCACAGCCATTTGAACAAAGAGATCAAATACTAACACAGTAAGATACATTAAATAAATTTTTCAATGAGGCCAGACGATCATATATTAATTACTAATTACGGTGATCACTCTTGTTATAGTAATAGCTTAGCTTAAAAGGAGAAGTTTAAATAGTGGTCACCAAAAAGTCGTCAACTATCATTTCGAAAGTTCAAAAAAAGCATGCGTTAAAAGAAAGAATCAAGGAACGAACTGATTTTGATATGAAATAAAGAAAGCCTGAATCTGACTGAAAAGGACGGAGATTACTCCAACCAAGAAAGAAATTGGATTCTTTGGGTATTGCTTGTTGGGCCGACTTCATCAATATGGCCATCTCTCTAATAAATAAAGGAGTTAATAATATTTTGAAAACTCCTAACCACGGAGCTATTTATTCAAAGAAAGGAATGTGCTAGCTAATTACCGCGATGTGCCAGAAAAATCAAGCGCTCTTCAGTCAATGTGCGTCCTCTCGTCCAATTCAAAATCAACGGTCCAAGAGTTGTGTCTTCTTCATTCTTTCCACTGATTCCTGCTTTTTGCCGCCAAACTACTTCTCTCTCTCCTTTGTTGCACACGGTCGTCCTCCAACGCCCACCCTGTACCACCAGACTCTGGTGGCTATCTCGCCACTGAAGCCACCACTGCTAACCCGGCCAAACAGATCACTTGTTTTTGAGCTCCCTCAGCCGCCTAGGCTCTAGGCAAATTATGGCCGGTGACATCCCCACCCCGCCATCTGTCCTAAAGTTTTCCAGATGGGCCGGGCACGATGGGCCGGCACAGGCACGACCCGAGAAAGCACGGCCCAAGCACGGCCCGGCCCGGCAGCCTGCGTGCCCGTGCCTGGCACGGCCCACCCCCGTGCCCGTGCCTGGGCTGCCAATTCGGCCCATGGGCCAGCACGGGCACGGCACGGTAAAGTGGCTTGGCCCGCTAACGGCCCGCTATCCAGGGAACTCAGCCGTCCGATCCCCCCCTGATGGATTATGGCCGTTGGATCCAGGGCAACGGCGCCGCCGCGTATATAAGCCGGCCGGCCTCCCCCGCTCCCCACCCACACAAACCCTAAATCATTTCATCCTCTCGGCTCTCGCAGTCTCGCTGGCCAACGCTCTCCCTCCTCTCCTCTCTGGTTCACGCCCTCTCCGACGACGGTGGCGAAGGGCAACGGCCCCTCCCAAGGGCGACGGTGACTCGCCGTCGTCCCCGCGGACCCTGCCTCCTCTTCTCGTCCTCCGGCAGCCGCAGCTCTGGAGCTCCGACGATGCAGGTAACATCCCCTTCGGCTCTTCTTCTTCTTTCTCTCACTGTCACTGACTCACTCCCTCTTCCGTAGATCCGCGGATCCGCTGCTGTTAGGAGCTCCGGCTCCGCCGTCTTCGTCACCGGCGACGTCTAGGTAAGACACCCTAACCCTAGCTCCGAAGCCTAACCCTAACCCTAGCTCCGATCTGTTCCGTTCTTGATTTCTTTTCTTGAATCTTGAGTTCTTGACTGATGTTCATGTTCTTCCTTTCTTCTTCTTTTGGCAGACGTTTGAGGCCAGGGCAAGTGAGGATGCCATCCCGGCCTCCCTCTGTCTCTGAGGACACGGTGGAGGCTAGTGCCACTGCCATGGCTGATGAGATGGAGAGGGTCCACGACCTCCCTGGTGATGACGACAACAACGACATGGGCGACGAAGAGGTAGAAGAGCTCTTCGGCCGTGGAGCTGTACCTGGTGGAGCTGGCGCAGAGGACCCCATCGACCTTGATGGTGATGAAGGTGGTGGTGGAGAAGAAGACGGTGAGAACGCCGACGATGACCAGGACCAGGTATCACGCCCCTCTACCTCTGATGTGTGGCAAGATTTCCAGAAGCTCTTCAAAATGGGTCCCAAAGGTAAGAAGATCAGGTATGGCGCTGTCTGCATCCATTGCAAAAAATAGTACTCTGGTAGATCTTGGTGTGGCACCGCCACCTCCGTAAATCCTGAGGATAAATGTGCTAAGAGGCGAGAGAAAACTAGGGGGTTTAGTCAATCTCAGATTTCTTTTAATCCTGATGGTTCTATGCGTAATTGGGATTACTGTCCTATGCGTGCTCGTACTGAACTTTGTAGATTGCTTGCTAGGGTAGATGTTCCTATCAGCTTTGGTGAATCTGCTGCATTTGAGGAATACATTAATAATGCTCATAATCCTAAGTTTCAGGCTGTCTCTACACAAACCACAACTAGAGACTTAGCCAAAATATTTTCTGATAGAAAGAGTAAGCTTGTTGAGGTACTTGCTTCTGATTCTGTTAATTGTGTGTGCCTTACCTCTAATATTTGGTCTGGCAAAGCCAAAGAGGATTATCTTAGTGTTGTTGCTCATTACATAAACCCTGATTGGCAACTAGAGAAGAGGGTTCTTGGTCTTGTGCTTATTGATTGTTCCCATAATGGACATAACATTGCTGATAGAGTTGCATCTGTTCTTGGTGAATATGGTGTGCTTGAAAAAGTGTTTGCTGTTACTTTGGACAATGCTTCATCTAATGTTTCTGCCATGCGTATGCTAAGACCTATTTTATCTAAATATCTTGATCTTGAGGTTCCTGTAGAGGATCCAAGACATCCTGAAACTGTTGTTACTACTATGTTCTTGCATCAGCGTTGTGCATGCCATATAATCAACCTGATTGTTAAGGAGGCACTTGATTATCTTAAACCTTTGATTGAAGTTTTTAGAACTGCAATATCATTTTTAAACTCATCTAACCAGAGAATTGCAGCATACAAAAACTATTGCATTGCTTCTAGTTATAGGCCTAGAAAGTTTCAGTTGGACATGGATGTAAGGTGGAACTCTACATATCTCATGCTTAAGACTTTGTTTCCTCACAAAGATCCTTTCACCACTTTCATACATGCTAACTATCCTAGAGGTGAGGGAGGTGAGTTGCTTCTAACTGAAGAACATTGGGTTGTTGCTGAAAAAGTCTTTAAGTTTCTTGAACTGTTCTATGATGCTACTGTTGCCTTGTCTGGTGTTTACTATCCTACATCCCCACTTATGCTTCATTATCTGGTTAAGATTGCTATACACCTGAACAAGTATGCTAATGACATTCACCTGAGGAATGTGGTTCAACCTATGGTAAACAAATATAATAAGTATTGGAGGGACATACCTTTGCTCTATTCTTTTGCATTCATCTTGGACCCTAGAGCTAAAATGAAGGGTTTTTCAAAAGTGCGAAGGAAGTTGATGAACCTTACCAGTACATACTACATTGCTTACCAGGTTGGCACTAGAGCTAGGCTTACTGATGTTTACAATAAGTATGAGGAGAAATATGGAGCTGTTAGGTTGAGGAGGACTGTCCCTCAAAACCTAACTAGTAAGAAAAGGTCTGCTTGGGATGAAATATATGATGATGATTCTAGTTCTTCTGGTGGTCTGTCTAGAGATACATCTGCTACTTCTTTGCTGCATGCTGCTACTTCTACATCTTCTAATGCTTCTGAACTTGCCTCATACTTAGACTGTGATACTGTTAGCCAGTTGGATGATTCATTTGGCATCTTGAGATGGTGGCATGAGCACAAACTGACATATCCAGTGCTGTCCATCATGATAAAGGATGTTTTAACTGTTCCTATCTCTACCATATCTTTAGAATCTACCTTTAGTATGACTGGCAGGATCATCGAGGAGCGGCGGAGGAGGCTGAAGCCGGAGACGGTGGAGTGGCTCACCTGCATCAAGGACTGGGAGTTGGCGGAGGCAAGGTTGCAGCACAATGTGGAGGACAAGGAGCTTGAAGAAGCATTTGAAGACCTCTATCTTGATTAGTGCTCCCGCCACCAAGGTAAATCATACCCCTAAGTCCCTAACTTCCTCTTCTTCTTTTGCTAACTGATTAGTAATCCTAATGCTAACTCTGTTCTTCTTTTGCAGCTGGCCAGCTGGGAGCTTGAAGCTTGAAGCTTTGAAGCATTAGTCTTCATCTTTATTACTTTAGTCTTTACATTTAGATGGAACTTGGGTCTGTAATATGAGAACTTGGACAATGATGTAAGAACATTGAACATTTGAACTTTGGAGCTAGGCTGTACTCTTTTTTCACGACTAGGGTTTCTCACAAGGGTGAGTTTTACCTAGCGGAGTTTTAGTGAGGCGACCATTGCACATGCTCCCATATTCCTATTTTCTTAACTCTTGTGTGTTTGCTCTGTTTTTGTTTCTCCAGTTCTTTTTCTGGTAATTTTGATTCTAAATTGTGCTTGTTACTTTAATCTTGAATTGATGAAGTGCTTTGGTTCAAATGTGTTTAGTGCACAGGCGGCACGAGCGGCATGGCATGCCACCGTGCTCGCTGCACGCGCACGCAACACGATTTACACTTGATAGTGCCGTGCACGGCTACCACTTCACGACGGTGGCACTATCAAGCACGGCACGGCGGGCTGCCGTGCCGCATAGTGCCGTGCCTGGCCGTGCCCGTGCCCGTGCCCGTGCCGTGCCGGGCGGCCCGTTTGGAAAACTATAATCTGTCCCTCTACCACCATGATAGCGTTGAGCTCATTCTCGGCAACCCCTGACACTAATAGCTACCCTAGTGGTACAATTAATTATTCCTCGTCTAAAAACTACTCCTCCATCCTAAAAATAATTTTTTTCTAGATCACACAAAATGTTTGTGCGTCTTTGTATTATTAATATAGAGAAAATGTTTAATACAACACGCCATAGCAGCGCCCTACGGGGTGAGAAGAGTAGTACATGGACGATCGAACCCTACCTAGTGTACTTAAAGTTATGCTGTTACATTGGACACTGATAAACCCAACTTGCGGCGCCGGCTAGGAGGCCTATGCCGGGGCTTCCGAGTGACGGCGGCACTGCTTGCGCGGACCCACGTCGCCGTCCGGAGGAAACTAACTCACGTAGCGCCTGCATATTACCGGGGTTGCCGCCGTAGATTTCGTCGTAGTTTTTTTCTAAGCCAAATTAAACCATCCTAATTTTGACAAAATCTATAGAGGAGTGTGTTAATACATAGGACAACAAATAGGCATACTATACAATATGTTAGTGAATCTAATTAATAATACTTATTTGATATCATAAATATTGGTAATTTGTTGGAAATGGTGGAATATAAGATTGTCTGATTTAAAACAAAACTAGAATGGCTTTGTTTTTAAAAGAGGAATACCCTAGTTTCATGCACTGATGCACTTGTAAAAAGCACCAGGAGAAGCATCAAAGAAGTAAAGCCTTGTAATATTCTTATAAATGTATGCACATTTCCCTATTTCAGATTCAGAAGGTTCATGCGATATTATTTTCCCTCAGGATTAAAAAAAAGGTTAAAAGTTTCCCGTTTTTGTATCTGTTTGATTTGAAATAGGGGCAGAAACCCGTGTGACAGCAGTTTGAGAATTTGAACTGCTCTACTTTATTTTGGTGCATGTATATGTGTTTGCAAGTCCACTTGTATGTAAAATATGATTGACGCAGGCAATCATGCATGTACAGGCCATCACAAACGCGACGACCTTCATGCATTGCACTGGACAAGCAGTACGCCAAATGGGTCATCTATTCGCTTATGCTAAAATTTAATTTATGTTAATATTTATATTAATTTATTATAAAAAGAAAATATTATTCATTAACTGAAAATTAGTTTAAGCGAACAGGCTGGGTAGCTAATAGCTATCCCTCTCTTTCCCCAGCATCCACGCATAGAGTAGTGAATGATCGAAAGGTCTCTATCTAGGGCATTGGTGAAAAGAGATGGCCTAGCTAGGGTTGCAGGAAACAGTACAATCTTTTTATCATGTGGCCATACGAAAAACAATTACAGGATCACATGATTGGTACCGGTGTCACATCGGCCTTGTACATATGACCACCCGAGAGGCAACACATCCCCGGAGATGGAGGCAAAGCGAGACAGCATAGAATAATATATATATATATACTACCCATTTATTCGTCTCCGTCGTCCGGGTACACCTTCACCTCGGGTCTCTTCCACGACTTGTTCGGCTTCCTGGAATTTGCATGCGTAGCTCTGTGTGCGAATACAGTGATCCATTTATTTGTTGAATACAGTGATCCATTCACCGATCATATCTTGGATTGCATTGTTTATGTTTACCATGCATGCGCATGCTAGCTTATTTTAACGCCAGATAGCATATAAGTTTATATAAGTCACCGATCATATTCGATTACATGCGTGTATGCTTATACTCTTCGCAAAAAAAGTATGCTTACCATAAGCACGCTAGCTTAATTTAACGCTATAACCAAGTGTGTGCGCGCGCACGCGCCATTGCTTGCATATCTACTTTTTTTTAATCTTAGTATATATAGACGGTTGACACATACATTCATATATACACACACATGCAGACTCACCCTAAGATTGAGCACCTACACATACATAAACTACCCCTATAAGCACTTTTGTGGACCGAGCCAATAAATTTGGAGATCCACAAAGTTGATATATGCACCTCGTTGTCAATGGACACATCACTTGGCACTGAAATATCTAATTATGACACGTGTTTATAGTGTGCACCGATGACAGAGCTTGAATAAAGGTTCAGCAGGGGCCAATCACCAAATAACTATGAAATATGTGAGAAATAATAGCAAATTAGTGCTTTACACACTGATATAGATATCTAATGCTTTAATTGCTTATAAGCTGCCAAGGCAAATACTGAGGTGGGGTTGTGTGTGTGTGTGTGTGTGTGGTGGTGGGGGTTGGGGGGGGGGTAACTAATTAAGGTCCACGTCACCCCCTGCTTAGTACTATCCAATCATATCAACTCAACTATCTTACTCAGGACTAAATTATCGCATGCCGGTTTAGTTTAATTAAGCACATAGAATAGTAAGGATCGAAGGTAACCTTACTTGTTTTGACATAGCTAACCTTACTGATTATTCTTCATACGTCTCTACATGCACCCCGGAGACCTTCTCGAAGGTGGTCTCATTTTCATTTTTTGACTTGGGATTTGTACGTTCTTTCCCTACATCTCAGTACTCACCAAGTCACAGATGCTAGGCATGGCATATTTGACATCCATGTTCCAGACTTTGTTGAATCGAAATGCATGCATGAGCATGTTCCAATCCAAGCAATCTCTCAACCTAGCTATCGTACGTGCGCGCGAGTACAGTGTACAGCTCCTTGGAAATAGAAGCCCGTGTGACATGCATGCGGTACGTACGTGCGTCGTACTTGCATTGGTTCTATTCCAGTACTACGATAGTATATATATAGCCCGGAACAGTGCACAGCCGCATAGTGGGCTCTACCGATATGAATGAGTACCGCGTATCTTTGCTTCTGTGTCCTGTGTCCTCCTCCGACTGGCCGAGGGAGCTCTCGGGACAGCTACACGCCAGAGCCTCTCGTGCGTGCCTCGGCGAGCAGAAAGTACACGCCAGAGCCTCATGTGTTTCGTTAGCCTTGGCGAGCAGCAAGTAGAGCTGAGAGTTATTGTCTAATCATCCTAACTGTCAAGGTAATTTACAAACTATGTAATTAGCAAGCTTTAGGCATTTGAGATGGAGAGAGTAAAAAAACTTACGATCTAAACAAGGCCTAGTCAGCGAGGAGCTACAGTTACTACTCCATCCACAGCTGAAAAGACGGTGAAAGTAAATGGTCGCCGTACCGTACGTAACGCACGCGTGACGCAGGCGTGACTCGTCGATCATCGTCTTTGGGAGTGGAATGCATTGCAGACGTACTTGCACTTGCATTGCAGTTCGGTTGTGCACGAGCTCAAGGTTTTGTTTCACCTGTAATCACACACACTGCACCAATCGTCGAGAGACGAGCGAGCGTTGGGAGCGAGTGGAAACCCGTGCAGTGCAGGGTTTTGTGGATTGTCCAGCGATTATTAGCGTGACCCGGCGCTGTGGAAAGCTCGGGATTTCCTTGCCAATCATGAACGCCTGCCGGCCTGCGCGAATACCTACCCCGCACCGAACTTCTACTGGCCGTGACGTTCCCGGAAACTTGAATAGTGTGCGTGAACGGTCAGTGGCGCTGCAGGCGCGCGATGGATGGAGCTGGAGCCCTGCCCTGCCCTGCCCTGCCCTGCGCAGTCTCCGTCTCCCTCTCTGCCAGCGAGCGAGAACCCAGGACCGTACGCGTACGGAGGCCTCGGCGTCGCGTCTGGGGCAGCAGGAGCGTGAGGTGAATAGGTCCGCCATGTGACATTCCTGTCCTGTGTAGGAGTACGTACTGTACACGCGCGCTCCGCTCCCTTCCCTAGGGTTGCGTTGCGTGAGTAGGGTGCGTCTGTGTGTGACTATGGGACGTGACGTCGCCGGCCGCCCGGGACGAGTGGCAGGCCGCTGACGATTCAGCAGTGAGATCGACGGAGCGGAGAGAGCACAGGCACAGCGATGGATGGATCGCCCCCTACCTGCTCCCCCCTGCAGTGCAGTGCCGTTTCAGATCTGAGCAGTGGGCAGGCGCTCATGAGCTCATGATAGGAAGGGCCGGCCGGCCGGCCGGTGGCGGGGGTAAATGGCCAGAGCGCGCGGGGGCCGCGGGACCCAGACGCGCACGTGCCCGTCCCGTCCGTCGTCGCGTCACCACAACCCGTACGTACTCGTACTCCGCGTCTTGTGTCTCCTCCACCTCCACGGACCAGAGCAGACCACGGCTGTCCTCTCCTCTCCTCATCCCTTTCTCTTGGCGCCTGCCTGCACGCTCACCCGGTCGTGGCTGGTCTCCATTTGCCGTGCCGTGTGCCGTGTGCCGTGTGCCGTGAGCAGTGCGTGCGTGCGCGTGCGTCTGCTCGCGGACGGCGCGCCGGCAAGATTTTGCTCCAGTCTCTGTCTGGCCACCGTGCGACACAGTGCCCAACGTTCATGGCCCGACTGCGACCGCGGTACGGCCGGCGTCCATCCCGACCCGAGACCTCCATCG